CCTCAGCCCTGCCTACATAAGACAGGTGAAAGTCCAATCATTGAAGATAAAGCCTGACTGCGGCACATCTTCTGCCTCATTTCCTGGTGAGGCTTCTACTAGCCATAAGAAATTTTATTAGGAAAGGATTAAGATCTATGCACCGTATTTAATTTCCCCTGGATACAGTGGTGAGTTTAATCAGAAAATCACTAATTTTAGAAAGCAACAGTTAACTTAGTAGTAACAACTAGTGACACCAAATGCATGCCATTTAGGTATATTTTAACTGACTATATTACAATCAAAAGAAATAGTGAACAGAAACAAAGATTACTATTAGCAAGGACTACTTTCAATTTGAGATTGACATTTCCCTACAGCAGGGATTAACTTATCATGGATCCTTGAGGAAATCTGATGTAGTCTATGGCCTTCTCAGAAGGTGTTTTTTTTTAAAATGCACAAAATACATAACCTCAAAAAGGAAACCAATTATACTGAAATAGTTATCAGCTATTATAAGAAGTTCACACAGACTTCATGTTAATTGAAGAACTCCTGTCCTAGAGAAAGGTGGGCAGGGGTTACACCAGATTTCTTCTACATCCATTTTTCATGGATTCTATCTAAAGGTAAATATATTTTTTAAAAAGTACAAAACAAAAAATATAGTACATTATCCTTATCTCCAATAATGCATTCAGTACAGCTTAACAAAAAGAATTAGCTATAAAAATCAATGAAGAACTTAAATGTTAGGATCTGCTGGCCGGAGGTCTGTCTGGCCTGGGGGTTTAGCTGTGGGTGTGATAAAGAGTGGACTAAAAGCAGTAGAGATACATTTGATAAAGCAACAACTACAGTAAGAACTAGATTGATCTACTAACACCAAAGTTAGCACACAGATGAAACACAAAGATTACACTTAGATTTATAGATATATATGCAAGAGAGATAAAATTCCTAAGAAAGAGTATCAATATCAACTGAAGCCTCAATGAGAAAGCTTTATGTATGGTTACAGTAATGTGATTTTAAATTTAACTCACTCTAACTATTCAGAAACTTTCCAACAACATTCAGTGCTGCAATTATAAGTTAACCTCAAATTGCACACCCTAAACAAAACTGCCAACATTTGAGGTGTAGGGAGAGGGGAATAATTGGGTTGGGTTTTCAGAATTCCCTTAAAGTTCCTTCCATCTTTAAATTCTACATTTAAATATTTATCAACAATATCCTTTTGTCCACAGCAGTACTGTAGACCCTGGAAAAGGAAGATCCTTGCCCTCAGTGACTTTATGGTGTAAGTATATATTAGTGTGATCTCTACTAACAGAGTACTCCTACCTCCAATTTAATCTATTAATCTGGAAAAAAATCCAGGGATTATAGCCATCAATCCAAATATAAGAGAAGCAAGAAAAACATGACTGAAAAGTAAAGTAAATAGGTTTTATCTGCCAAATTTTCCACTCCACAAATATCTATAGGGCAAAGCTAAAAGTGAACATTGGAAATACCAATGTCTGGTAAATGACACATTCCTAGTCTTTGACCTTTTCCCCAAGGGCAAATTTTAATGTCTGGATTCTTATACTAATAAACAAAACTGCCAGTATACCACTCAGGTCAAACCCTTTCCTTTCATAAATTCTACCACATCTCACGCAAAAAAAGGTTTATCTCCAGAGTGCTTAGCACAGTAGTACTAAAAAGAATTCGAACAAAACTTAATTCATAATTACTTCATCAGTAAAACAGATTTTAAAATCCAATTGTTTTTTTTTTAAATTAACAAAGGGCAGGTTTTTTCTAAAATCATTTCAAGAATGCCATGCTCTATATTCAGTCTGTCCTACTCCTACAGAGTAACATTTAGTCTGAGCAAAGATCTAATTTTATCACTTCAAAATGGAGAATGCTAAATTTTGTTTTACATGAACTAACAAATCCTAATACCAAAGATTTTTTTTTAAAAAAAGGCATCAAATACTCACATATTAAATGGTTTAATATATATTAAATGGATAGGGATGGAAATGTTTCAGCCAGCCACAGCTCAAGTTTTACTTACAAGAATGGGAGTTGTATCTTATTTAAACCAAGAAGAGCACCACATTTACACTCTCCTATACGTAGTTAGATGTCAACACTGAAAGTTCAGTTATCGTTAGTGCCCCACTGTAATCACCAACCAACCACTTTCCTATATACTATTCATAGTGCAATGAAAATATTTCTACCGAAGAACGGAATACCCTTACAAGGAAACAGCCAGTTTTTTTAGGGCTAAAAAGGAAACAAGAGAAAGGTAGAATCCCATTTTAGCAAATATAGTGAGGTAAGTTCGACACACACCAAGGCTATTTCCATGCCATAGAAATGCATAGAATACTGCTTTGTTGATTTGGATACTAGTTTTGTTCAATGAGAAATCCACATAGCAAACATATCAGTCTTTATGAAGTTGGCAGTCAATTAGAAAGTGTTGTTATTCATATATAAAAATATAAATATCAGTATACAACAACAAACATGCAAAATGTTATGTTGGTTGTTCAGAGTTCTTAAAAGAATAAAAATGAATTGTTTCCTGGCTCCCAGTGGCTGGGCTGGTGGGGACTATAAAATGAAAGTTAAGACAAATCATATACTAGCAGAAATCTCAGGACACAAACTTCCTTAAATACCTCTGAAATGCTGTGAATTACCTTCTGAACTATGGCAGTTCAAAGCAACTTAGAAGTCCTAACATTTTGTAGGCCCTCCCAGCTTAAGTAGGTAACAAGAAGCCAGGAAACATTATTTCCGTCACATTTCTCCCTTGCTCAACATAGAAAAGCCCAAATCATTACCAACACAACATTCTGAAAAACACGTCAAAATTTATTAATAATTTTTGAATACATTTCAAATATAATTTCAGCAGAAGGAAATAATGGTATTATTTACCCTCTCAGGTTCCAGTGAGTTCAGGAACATTTCTTTCAGAACACCTACCCCTCCATTATTTGGTCACTACACAAATGTGGCATATCCCTGACAATTGCTTCATGTAACTAAAAGCAAATAACCATTTAATTCCTCCATTTCTAGCAATAAATTTTTTTCAAAAAGGGTTATATAAAACATAGCAAATTTTGATATTCCTTAAAGTTCACTCAAATGGGATTCTACCTGTTGAAGAAAAACAGAAAGGCAAGAAAAAAGCAATCAAGATAGGGTACAGAGGAAAAAAGCGAGATCAAATTTAGATCAGCAAAATCAACCTGACAGTAAAAATAACAAAGGACAAATAAGAGGTTTAACGCAAAGGTATTTCCACAGCAAATTTTCATACAGTAATTCAATGTGTTCAGTTAAGGATTTCCAGAAGTTATAATTAAATGTTCTGAAGTGAAAAATGGATGACACAATGCAAATACCAACTGTTTTCTGCATATTACTCCAAATCATGCTGGGGGGAGGGAGGAGCACAAGAAGTTATATCATCTCTAAGAATGAAACAAATATAATCATCTTAAATTCTTGGCATTCCCTTTTTTTTTGGAATTCACTAGTGGACAAGATCAAATTCACCATCAAGCCTTGAAATAAATCAGCCCGTCTCCCTCAAATAACAGTAATTAGCCTGAGGTATTTTAGTATGGCTCTTACTTTCCCAACTTTCTTGGAAAACAAATGCATTACTGCCATTAAATCCAGAATCCCCAGATGCTTTCATACAGCCCAGAGTCCCAATTCTAGCAGGAGCCATAAAGATCTGCCATAAGAATGTCTCTTGTACAAACCTAAGATAGAGGTACTAACCATTGGTTTTCCAGTCTGGAAATTATAACCCTGGTTCAAACAGGGTGCTAAATATAACACATACACAATAAAGGTTAAAATTTCTGACCTTTTAATGACCAAGAACAATTTTTATATAATGTAACTTAATAAGCCTCAACACTCTTGTGAGGTAGGTAAGTAAACAATACTACCCATTTAAATATATGGATAGATTAGAGGTATGAGTAAATAATATACTCACATATTAAGCAATGAGAATTGGAATAGAACTCTCTCCCTAGCTTCAACCCCAAGACCATAATAAATTTAACTTTAACAATAACGATCTTTAAAGGGTTATTATGACTTAAAATTTTGTCCACTGGTTCTTCATTCACCCTTGCATATTGGTAGATGCAGGACAGCTTTTAAAGTCTGGTCCCTTCTCCTAAATAATGTCCATTAGTTACAACTATCAAGGTCAACTTCCAAATGTGTCAAAAAAAGACATTATCCTGTGAGGACTAACATTCTGCTTGGTAATTTATTTTTAAATTGCCACAAAAGAACTTGCAATGGGCTTCTATCAGGTGGTGTAAGTGATCATCTTCAGTGAAGGTACACCACAATACCACCAAGAAAGGGAAAGATGCTTTCAGTTTGAATGGACACAGTTACACAAGTAGAAGAGGACGCTAACTTCTGAAAATACTAGGTTTTATTCACACCCCAGTGGTAAACAATAACCTTAATAGGATGACTACGCTTCTTTGTCGATCACTATGTCACATTAAAATACAAAAATCCATAAACAAGCAGACAGTTCACGAACATTAGATGTGGTCTTCCTGGAAATTCTTAACCGTATACTAGTCTCTTCTCAAATCAAATTTCAAAATGCTTTGTCTCCTAGTTAGTACAAGTCACTGCATTTCTCTAACAAAGTAATGAAGGCACAGCTAGTGCAAGCAGACTTAAACCCATTCAACTACTGGGCTGAAAAAATACTTTGGTTGGTTCTTCAGAAGGATTTCTTGTTTTTCTAAACCAATATTGGTCTCAAATAACAGTTTGGGTAATTTTCGCAGCTGCAGTCTAATAGCTACATGACAAAGGACTTCACAAGAACCAAACTATGTAGCAATGGACATGCGTTAGGGGATTCACTGCATTCTACATATCCGGCAAAAATCATACTATTAAAATGCTAGGTAGAATGAACCTATAGTTTGAACTGGTTCTTCAACGTTCATTTTTTCTTTTTTTCCTTTTTTAACAAAAATTGTTTACTTGATTCTACCAAGAAAATACAAAACATAAGGCTGTAAGTAACTACTAGCTGTGGTTAGGCTGGGACAGTGCAGTAATCCTCAAGGCCACAGCACGCACTGCTCACTGCTGCTTGCACTCGGCTGGGTTTGGGTCTTTCTGTTGAAAGGAAGACAGAACACAACAGTCAAGGCCACTTTCAGCACAACGCTGTCAAAGCTGTCAAACATGCCCAGATAATTCCTCCAATTTTTATCCAGGTGGGAAAAGTGCAAGTCCTAAGGCAGTAAAAGTCAAGAAATCAGTTGTATACTTGACAAAAACACAGAGCCAGAAGCTGAAGTGCCCCATTTAAAGGGGATGGGAAATAGGAGCAAAAGGCTCTCTACTAGTCAAGGTATGATCCCTTGTAGAAACCACAGGTATCAATTTGTTCACCGGACTTTATCCAATATTTAAATGACTTATTGGGAGAGTGGAGGAAGAAGAAAGCTTTTTATGTTGCCGTAAGAGGACAGTTTCGGTAACAGATTAACAAACAAAAACTGAAGTTGCAAGGGTAGTAAGATGACATTAAGATTTAAATGATAATAACATGATAAAACTTTAAAAACATTTTTATTAACCTTAGATCTTAAGCCCCAAGTCATAAAGAATCAGTTTGAGTTAAAGAAGAATTCAAATTTCATCAGTAGACAGCACTTTTCACAGGAAAGATCACAGGAAGTTCTAGAAATCAGTGCCATAAATGTCTACATTGAAAAATTTCATCTCACAGCTAAATTCAGCCTTTAATAACAGAAAAGTATTCAAAATGAAACAAAAACATCCAAAATCACATGGTTGTCTCGACAGACATTAAAAAAAAGTATTTTCTCTCACCTTCGGATCATATTCTGGATCATTTTCCTCATCAGCTTCTTCTTCCCCTTCCTATATTAAAGTTCAAAATGCATCCATGAAGTAGGCACAGTAGAAGAGAATTCATAACGTAGGCAGGCTAATCTAAATTACAGTATAGGTCAACAAGTTTTCATCATTACAAGACTTTGGCGAAAAATGCAATTTAATCTGAAAGCTTCTAATATGAAAATTTCCCAACACAACTCGAGACACATCCAGTCTGCTTTTATTGAAAAGATTTACTGCAGCCAACGTTGAAAAAATTTACTTCAGCTTTTGACTTCTTCAAAGAGCTGATAACCCTGCAGCAGAACAAAATTCTTAAATAAAACATTGTTGCTGATAGTTTTGCAGCTTATCTACTATATACATGTATTACCTATAGAATTATAGTGTATCTCTTGATTAAAACATATTCCCTTTTAGATAAAGTAAATCTTATGCCAAAAACCTTAATGCTAATTTGATATATAGATATATATATATTCAACAACACATATCATGAATTAAACAATTTAGCTGTCTCATCGTGCAAATATTACCTCATCATCAGCCTCTTCACCTTCTTCATCATACTAAAAAAAAAAAATTTATTTAAATATGATGGAGTTAACATCTACCAGAACCAAAGCATTAGAAGAAACCTCCCAGGCCACCTAATTCAAAACCATAGCTATATAAGGCTATCCCCACACTGCATACTATTTCTAGTTGTAACACTAATATGATAAGCTAACCAGACTATTCCCGCACTCCACTCTATACCTATTCACTGGATATAAGCATAATAAATTACTCTAGTCATCAAAAAACAATGTTGATAGGATCCTACTCAGAGATCATCTAGTCAACCTTCTTCATGAGAAAACTAGCTCAGAAAAGGAGAAAACCCAAGGTTAACCAAATACAAGACTGCTAGTGAGCCAATTAATTTTAGAAGCACTTGAGTTTTCAATAGCATGACTGCAAAACAATTATTTCTTCAATAATTATCAATTATCCAGTGGGCAAAAGGTCTATTATGGTCAATGTTTGGAAAAGGATATATAAATTCAATTTTAACGAGTGTCATGCCACTGATGTTGATGTCATGATGATTATCTTCTAAAGGACCCAATAAATATCATCTTTGTCCGGGCTATGCCCTCTAGAATGGTCAACAACTCAAGGACCAACTACAGTTTTAAAATTCACAAGAGTTTTGCTAAGCCAATGAGGTAAGGAAATTTCACAAATATACCTAAGCCACTTTACTATGACATATAATTCACTGTTTAGCTCAGTCACTGTACCCACTGGATTATTCACAACCTCAAATGGATCTTGTCCTCTAAAAGGGGTTGTAACTGTGCTGACATTCATCTTCACTTACATCATCATCATCATCTTCAATAGCTTCTCCTGTGAAGTATAATACTGATCTCGGGACTATACGCTCACGTAAAAAGTGACCAATTTCAAAGTCTGCTGCAAGGATAGCTTCCGCATCATCATCCTGTACAAGATGACAGTACTTTGTAAGTAAAAACCACAAACATATAAATAATTTCATTATTAAGCTGGTTACATAAGTAATCTTTATAAAACTGGGAAGGCAGCCATGGTAAGTGTATAAGGAACAAGGAATTCTAATGCTTAGGTACACCTTACTAGCTTATTTTCTTAGCCAAACCATATATGCAAGTCAAAAATGGTGAATTAAATGACACATCTTTAATTCAATAATTTGAACCAATGCTTTTAGTCAATATAAAAGGGAGTCTTCATACTTCAACCAATGAGCCACAAAAACTATATTTGTATCTTTAAAAGTCACAAAAGTATTATGTTCACATTTTATATAGGTCAAATGTAGATACTGCATTTTGTTCTTCAGAGACCTCTTATATTTGAAGACAAAGAATGAGGGTAAAACCTTCCTGATATTTTAAAATTAGCTTATGTGCATGGCTATATGGCAAGCAGCATCATCTAGGCATACAATTCTTTATTGAAATAAGTACGGTAGAGGGAGGAAGGGGAGAAGAGAGCAAGTTAAATCAGCTTAGCAGATAAGAAATACAAGTGAAGGGGCAGCTAGGTGGCACAGTGGATAGAGCACCAGCCTTGGAGTCAGGAGGACCTGAGTTCAAATCCAGCCTCAGACACTTGACACTAGCTGTGTGACCCTGGGCAAATCACTTAACCCCAATGCTTAGCAAAACAACACAAAACAAAAAAAGAAATACAAGTGAAAATATGGGGGGAGGCAGGAGAAATAGGAGAATCCGACTAGTTCCATTTTAAAAACCCAAAAAATGCCAGGTAGCAGAAGAGAACATGAGTTACTGATCTCTCATGTTTCAGCTACCATTCATCTAAATGATGTATTCTCTTTTTAAGGACCGTATATTCAAGAATATGAAAACAATGAATATTACACCTATGAAAAATATTTTTTTACCCGCTAGGGCATTAAGTTCTATTAAACTAAAAAGCTAAAGAATCCAAAGGACTATTACATCACTTAACATGAAGCCCTGATTTTAAGATGATCACAAGAAAATGCCCTAAAAGAAAAAGTCCAGGTGGATATACACAGTTCAATTAACAAGTTAAAAATTTCTTATCGTTAATTCGAAAAAACTTATCATAAAAAATTAGTTAATGGCAAAAACATTTCACAAATGTACTGATCACAAGTACATAATCAGATTCAGAATGATTTCTATACAACCCCTCCCCCCTTAGTTACTGAACAAAACCATTTTAAATACTAATAAGCATTATAAATAAGAATTCTAAGAATACTAAAGCAATGGATCTAAAGAGTTTTATAAATGAATGCAAACTGACATGTATAGAAAGTTATTACATTTCACCACAGAAGGGAAAACCTATCAAACCAATGCCTATCACAAAACTTTGCACACAGTGGGAACTTATTAAAAATGGTCAAATGAACGAACAGATACCATTCTGTATGCTGCCATGGCTGCAAATTATTTTAGGACTGCAGTCTACTTAAAAATATTAAAGACGGTGATTATCACAAAAGGCACTTTCTTCAATAAAAAATAACACTTCAAAATCTTTCTACCAAACCCATTCACCTCATATTAAATATAACATGCCCAACCCAACAAAACAAAAATTAGGCACAACTCTAACTCTCTAAGTCTACTCAATGCTACTGCATTTCTCAGGATCCAGCAGGGGTCACCATAGCATCCAAGAACAACTACTCTGACTTCCAGAACTGAGATGGCCCAGACACAAAAGCACTCTGAGAACCAAACATTCAATCAACCTTCATGTTCAGGATATAAGCAATTTCTGCTGGAGTAAGTCCAATCATTAAGGGAAATGTTATTCTGTCCAGGATGGAGGTGACCCTTGCAATACAGCATAAAAAAGCATTCTCGTTTCACTGAAGAAACAAACTGCACTTCAGAAAACATGGTAAGTATAAAAGTTCAGGACACAAAACTGGCACTAACAACCTTCAAAAGCCTTTCAATGTCTATAGTTTTGGGTTTTTTTATTACTCACCAGGTCTCCACTCTCAGGAACTACAATTAAATGGCAAAGGGAGGGAAAGAAAGAAAAATAAAAGGTAAGATTATCAATATTTTAAGAACAACACTTAAGCACCCAACCAATTCCAAATTTAAAAATGCTGTTTACCTTCAGGAGGAGAAAAGAAATTGAAGAAAGAATCATTGGAAACTGTTTTTGTCACAGTTCGAACAGTCCCACGTCCCTTGTGTTTCTGTTTCTTCTTAATAGTTTTCAAAGTGACATTTTTCCCTTTTTTCCAATCTACCTGACACCTTTGAGAAACAGGGAAGCTTTGATCACATTTACAACACTAAAAAAAATTCTCTCAAAGAAAAATATAAACTGGGGGACAAATACGCTTATTATGCGTCTTATGTGAACATCACGGTATCCGAAATTTGCTTAAGTCCATAGCAGAAAAATAAAACTGTTTCTTCTAAGAGCAGGTACTTTTAATAAAACAAATTTTGTTTCAAGATTTTACATCAAGATTCGACCAATTCATTTAACAACTGTAGTTCACCTACTCTTTGGAAGAACTGTACTATGTGTTAGGTGGAATACAAATTAACCAACCAAAAGGCATGTATTAAGTACCCACTGTGTACTAGGAACTGGGAACACAAAGATTAAAAAAACTCAAAGGCTTGGCTTGCCCTCAAGGAGCTAACATATTCTATTGGGAAAAACATGTATATAGAAGTATACACAACATAATTTGGGGAAAGGAGCAGGGAGATAAAAAAAAGGCCTCATGTAGAAAGAAACTATACCAATATCATTAAGGAGGAGAATGTTAATATTATTAAGATACTGACAGAATAATTGCCTCTACTCCCACAATTTACATTCTAACAGATTTCAAATCTGAAAGTGTAATGATTAGCAAAAAGGTCCAGCTCTGAAATATTAAGATTCAAATATGGAATAAGATATTCCTTTATAAATACATGTAAAACAATTACATTAAATTTATAATGTGTTTTGAAACATCAAATAATCTCACCCTGTGCAACTCATAATTTCTGGTCCATCAAAGGAGAAAGGATCAGAATCATCTGGCTCTGACCGCATACGATATGTCTTCGTCAACACCTCATTTGTGAAATATTCATTGGGTTCAAAGTGAAATTCTAATGTAAAACTCTAAAGACAGTTGCAGAGATTAAGATATTATTGGTTAGAACCTCTTTTGTTCCCAACCTAAATAAACGAAATAAATGCCAAACTCTGTTTGACAGGGCATTAAACAATGTTAATCCAAAGCTCTATCCTTTCTAAGTGAACATATTTTTATTTTGCTTAAAATTTTAAAAATGGTCAAATATTAGGAAAATACAGGTGATATACTAGATTTAATAAACTTTCACACATCCTGACTCTTGCCTTCAAGTAAGTACACTCCCTACCCTCCAAGATCCCATCTAACAGTCATGTTCCAAATTAAGATTCGTATTATTATTTTTAAATTGTTTACCATAGGTTGGCCAGCATCTGAGAACTTCACTTTAATATCTTTCAGGTGCTTCAGAATAGGTTCATCATGTTCCTTCAAGTAAAATTAAAAAATTATCAAGACGGATATTTGAGCTGAATATTAAAAGTTAATAAACACATGAAGAACTACCCTTTTTTTCCCCCCAAGTCAACATTGATCAATACAATGATTAGTCTTATTCTTTTTCTTAATGCTTAGCCAGTCAATCAAATATAGGTATGAGATCCTCAGGCCAAAATAGTTTTGTTAAAGAATATCATAATGTGGATAACTCTGAAAAAAATTCTCTTCTAAGACTGACAGAAAAGAACATAGGTATGAGAAAATTTCCTGCTAGTCATTCAACCTAAACAGTGGCTTACATGTCAGAAGACAAGTAGTTGTCACTGAGAACACTAAAAATGAGTTACATGAAAAAAGACTAGAAAAACTAGTCAAAAAGAAATAACCTATGGTATATTTTTTAAACTATGAATCAAATTATGCATAAACAAAGCCAATTTTGCACTTAGTTAAACACAAAAACACTAACTAATGTCTATTTCAATGTGTTAAATGAATGGTGCTATGCAAAGCTACTAAACTACTGTGACCTCATCTGAGCCTCCATGGCATTTTCATTATGGATTTAAATTACCTGAACCATATCACTGAGCAAGTCAACATTTTTAAAAACAGTCAGCCAAAATTCAGGAATTCCTTTAGGGTCTTCTTTTTCTTCATCTTTTTTCTCCTCTTCAAGCTTAGCCTTCTCTTTCATTTCCTCCTTGAAAAAATACAAGTGTTACTTACTAAGCTTGGGAGGAGGCACTTTAATTACTCTTTCTGCTTCACTTTTGCTTTCAGGTTTTTCATTTTCCTTCCAACCACCAAAAAAAATAAAACAAGTAGGGGCAGCAAGGTGGTGCAGTGGATAGAGCACTGGCCTCGGAGTCAGGAAGACCTGAGTTCAAATGCGGCCTCAGACACTTGACGCTTACTAGCTGTGTGACCCTGGGAAAGTCACTTAATCCCACTGTCTAGCCAAAATAAAATAAAACAAGTGCAGTAATATAGTTTTGCAGTAGAACATTTTTGTCCCACTACCAAATATGTGAAATCATTTGTCATATTAATTGTTAGCCAGTTAAACATGTGGCAAAGTTGGCTTAGTACCATTAGCCACACAAATGGAGTAAAACCTAAATGGATCAAAAACAAAACCTTCTAAATTCCTATTTAATTTTGTTTAAAGTCTGTTTAAACATGCTATTATTACCTTAATGATTAAAAGTTGTACAATTCTAACAAAAGAATACTCACTGAAATCTCTTCATCATCATCTGGTTTCCATTCACACTCTTCTTCTGTAGGTTCATAAATTGCATTGATGATTTCACTTCTCTGAAATGATTACACCATTCAATCTTTAAATTTACAGCTTCATTCTTAATTACTTAACTAGTAAAAGACACTGCCACACAAAGTCTCAAGCAACAACCCCATAAAATTAGAGATTCTTCTTCCCCTCTGAGCTCACTATGACACCAAGATGCACTGATCTTGCCCTTTTACCAATGGTAAATAATTCCAAGCATACTATGTGTAATAACCATTTCAATATTAGGTCAAGAAACTAAAACATTTAATTCTGCTAATTTTAATTAAAAGTACAAATCTCCACTTCTTAAAACTGCATACTCTGGGTAAGATATGGTAGGGTACATTACCTTATCAAAAAGTGGCTGGTAAAGAACAGCATACTTTCTTTCAAGAGCATGAACTTCCTCATAGAACTTGGCTTCTATCTGTGCACATTTCACCTGAAGGTTTTTGAGGGCATTCACACGCCGCTTAACTACTTTTGGCAAGCTAAAAGATTCAAAGAGAACCCATTATTATGTGAGTTCAATAGTGAAGTTACATATTAATTCCTTTTTCTTATTTATAACCATATCAAGCAAAAAAAGGGCAAAAATTATGTCAGTTCACCAGCCAGTGTACCATTAATGATAAAAGACTCAACTCCTAACCTTCCCCAAAAAGACTATTACTTATTCACAAGGCTACACTAAAATGTGACTGATTTAGCCCTGACAACAGAATGCTAAGCAAATCCTACAAAACTGAAATTTTAGAGCAATTTGAATCAATAATTAAAAGAGGATTACTACTAATCAACTGACAAGGCCAAAGAATGTTTCTGATTTATGAATGCTCTAAAATGCCCTTTTCTTTTCAAAAGTGAATAAACAGATTTTCACCTTACAAAATAGTTACATTTCATAGAGGCAATCAAATTTTCACACTGACATACAACTTTAGAGACATTTAGCCAATCATACATGAAGCCAGGCCTTCAATTTAACAAACTGGCATATCAGTAAAACTGCTAGGTAAAGTTCATAAGAGCCATGCCTTTTCTGGTTCTTCTTTCCATAATCACCCTTAGAGAATAACTTCCCCTTTCAATTCATAGTTATCTTACATCCTTCTGTCATAGGCAGAGGGAAGACAAAAATCCAACCTGCCCACGCCTCCAAAGAAATCTCATTAACAAGAGATAAAGACAGAGGTGTACAGTAAGGGGAAAAGACACTCCCTGGACAAGGGTCAAGTGACCTTTCATTTTCAGCTCTGCCACAAACTAGTTAAGCGTCCTTCAGGAAGTCACTTAACTTCGTTAGCCTCAATTTGTCTATAAAATGAGGGACTAGATCACTTTCAAATATTTTGCCATCCTTACATTTTTTGATCTCAGGCTATGACCCTACATACTGAAACTCAAAACAAGCTTCAAAAGATTGCTGTCACCCATGCTAAATTACTTAAAGTGACAGCATTAAAAAGCTCTGGCCTTAAATCAACTTTTTAGGATTACCCTATTATAAAGAGCTCTTTAAAGTAGGCATAGCTATACAACATCTAGCTGATTACAGTGCAGGATATCTACCTTTCAATGTATCCAGTTGATGTTCCAACTAAACCATCCAGTCTTTCTTGAAGAGCTGCAAGAATCTGAGGATTCTGCATCATCTGAACAGTCAACTGACGAGCTAAGTTGAAGAAGGAATTTTTTGAAAAGACTTATTATAACTGATCAGTAGATTAATACAGTCACAATGTTTCCCATAAATCTGGGGTCTAATAAGAAATCTCAGCTTAGCATAAGAATAAATAAGCATTAGGCTAATGGAAAGCACAATGGGAAAAAATTGCCCTGAATCCTGGTAACATATCTAATGCCACAGTTCTGAAAAGCAAATTACTCAATGCCAATTTAATTCTCAAATTTTATTGTTAATTGCCAATGTGAATTTAGAAATTAAAGTGAACTGGCTTTCTCATAATTTTCTTTTATGCAAAAGAAATCAAGACAGTATCTGGCTAAAATCTGAAATATCAGTTTTAAAATATATCTTTATAGTATTTGGCTTCAAAGGTGGAAAAAAAATTCACCTGAATCTAGACCTTAGGTCAGAGCTAAACTGTGATCTCTCCCTTTTAGTTCTTCACCTAATTCTGTCAGTCCCTCACTCTGAGTTTGCAGATAGGTGTCAACCTGCATTGGTAGGGGGAGTTCCTCCCTACACTCATGAAAATTATAGGTACAGTTCAAAACAGGAAAAAAGAGCAAACATACACAAAAAAAATAGGGAGATGCAATACATTCCTTATGTTTCACTCCACCCCTAAAAATGAGGTCAATAAATCTAAATGAGATTGAGGGTAAAGAAAGAAGTTTGGGATAGAGCAGTGGCATTTCTAACTCACTGATGATACAGTTATCAGAAATGATGGATTCCCATCAACAGTCAAGGCATTACCTTTGCTGTTTGCATCTTCACCAGTTTCTTCTTCTTCCACTTCTTCAACATCTTCCATATCTTGCTGGTCAAGTTCAGTTTCTTTGCTATAATTCAAAATTGGCAGATTAGAATTTACATGTACTAGGAAAGAAAATCTTCAAAAATTCATTTCCCTATACTAAAAATCCCTCTTTTTTAAACGATACACAATAGGGAATTCCTAAGATAATGCAAAATTCTCCCAGTTTTTTGTGCTAAAGACAAAATTAACTTGCCACCTCCTGGCTTAAAAAACGAGTGGTTGTTGTGGAGAGGCCTTATACTGTGATAGATAAGGAGAAACTGCTTTAAGGAGAAGAATCCTGCCTCTCTGCTTTTGGGCAAATTCTGTTTCATGGAAGGACTGCCAAGAAGCTTCCCTGATATTCTCTAGGACAGGGTTTCTTAACCTGAGATTCGTGGACAGAGTCAAAATATCTGAACCTGGATAGGGGAAAAAAATTACATAATTGATTTTATGCAACTAAAAACATTATTTATAAGCAGGGGTCCATGACACACAAAAAAGTTAAGAATTCTTGGTCCAAGGCAACTTTTTCCAACTACTGCTAGGACTAGCTCCATAATATATGGATAAGGTATCCCATCATTTTGGACTGTCTCACAACCTTTTTTCAATTTTAAATCAGCTTAGCATAAGAATAAATGAGCATTTATCAGGAGTGTAGATGAGATAATAATTATGATAGTGAAAGGAATGAGGATGCCTATGTGTACAAGGGGTATTCATAAAGTCTCTGCACTATTTAAATTTAAATACTGCAGTTGTAGGTATGATAAAATCAATAGATATAATATCTTTGAGAGCAGGGATTTCCATTTTTTAGTCTTAGTATTTCTGACTAAACTCTACCAAAATTGGTGGCACATAGTAGGCATTTAATAAATGCCTATTTAATTTAAAATACATTTAAGTAAATCCTCAATGTTTATAATCACTTTAATAATAAACGATTTACTTTGGGACATATGGCAGTCAAGTAACAGGCAGAAAACTCTTTAGGCTAGTGCTGGAGCTAATAAATTACCAAGTAATGTAAAGGAACACTCTTTTCACCTTTATTGTCTTGGGGAATAATACTAATAACACACCAATCAAAACCCTAAGAAATGGGAAAATAAAGCAATCTATTATTACCAGATAAAGCACTTTAAATATGAGGCTTTATTCAAAAAGTACTCTGAAAAATAAAATCGAATTAATTTGACAAATATTCATTAAGTTCCTACTAGATGCCCAGTACTATGCTAAGCATAAGCCTTAGCCAATAACTTAGTAACTAAAATAATTTATCAAAGTTACACTTTATCCACAGTTTATATGAACAGATACTAACAGTCATTTAGTACACATTTTTCTAAAATGGTATTCACAAACACACACACACACACACATACTACTACTACTACTACTACTACTACTACTACTACTATAAAAGGACAAAGTAGGGGTCAATATTCTATAGTGCAAAGAATAAAATTACTTACTTATCAATGTCCGCCATGTTGTAAGACCTCTGAATATTTGAGATCTATAGAAATAAATGAGTGTTAAAAATATTCATAAAGGGTAAGTTGTTTGAGAAATCAAAAACACAATGGACCTAACCTTATAATTACCCTAGGAAGCCAGAAATCAACACACTATAGCTAAATCCCAGAGCCACCACCCACAGCAATTTTCATGAGCAGCAATCCCTACCCCAAGACTTCTGGTAAGCCACTGTAAGATCAGTTACCAACACCTTTTTGGCACTGCAAAAATTTCCATTAGCTTCCACAGGATGGCAAGACAAGTTTTTCTTTCCCTCTTTGTTCAACAAGGATAACAGACAATTATGGGAAATAACAGAAGAGTAATAAATTGTTACTCCATCATCCTGGTCTAAATTCTGAATGTACCCACTTTGGAAATCAATAGTCCGGTCTCTTCAGGCTCATTAGTCCATAAAAAGTAAAACCACAAGAAGGGTAACCCAGTGTTCAGCTGTACAATTGCTTCTCTTTCCCTGAAGCATTTCTTTAGGACCTACTTTGAGAAAATTAAGTCCCCAAAAGAGAATGTAGTATTTTATTAATAGGCTCAAGGATCTAATACATAAAGAAATTTAAACTACTGGTTAAAAACAAAAAGATGTTGATCCACAATGGCTCCTATGAACCTAAACAAAGCATACAGAGAAATACTATCATAACAAACTGTTTTTATTGCACAGAATTTTGCTGAAGTGAACCTAGTGGTTGGTTGTTATGGTGACAACTATAGTGATAAAAATTGTATTTGTTATAATCACATACCTTAAGCCACCAAAAAGGCAGCATATCTTAACAGAAATAAAGACCTGGGTTCAAGTCCTAACAGTCTGACAAGTCACTTGATCTCTCAGTGACCCAGACAAATCTACCAAGACTATAGTTGTAGGTTAATTGAGAAAGAAACTCCCTCTACTGGTCTAAATTCCCTAGTAGAGGAAGTTTTATTACATGGTTAATAAAATCATATGTCTAACCTAAAAACATTTATTAAAAAGGGATTTAATTTACTTGATCTGGGTCCACTTGCTCTTGATAGGTTTTGAGTTTTTGCCTTATCTTGCCAAGAAGCAGGCTTCTGTAGCACTTGCCAGCCATATCCTCATGCTGTATCTGGTTTGCCTCGGGTACTCTTTATGTGTGATTTTCTACATTAGAATGTAAACTCCTGGAGGACCGAAACCATCTTACTTGTGGGGTCTTTGTACCCCCAGCACCAAACAGCACATGACACAGAATTAAGTGTTTAATAAATCCTTAAACCAGTTATTTTATGTTACTAGATAAAGGAGAAAAGATCCACAGTTAAGGCTGGTGGATGATATGAACGTAAACATTATGTAAAAAATGATGAGAGCCTTAAGTCACCATTAGAATTTAACCCTCAAATTAATATTTCTCTATCTCATTTATAAATTACTTCATTTTAAAAAGCAGAGCTTATACAGGCTATGAATAGGTGTGTTAACTGTTCTTCAGTCGTTTTTGAGTTGTGTCCAACTCTTGTCACTCCATTTGGGTTTTCTTGGCAAAGATGTTGGAGTAGTTTGCCATTTCCTTCTCCAGCTCATTTTTCAGATGAGGAAACTGAGGCAAATAAGCGATTTGCCCAGGGTCACACAGCTAGTGTCTGAGGCCAAGGCCGGATTTGAACTCAGGAAGATGTGTAATTAGGCAATTGCAAATCACAATACAAAGGGAGATACAGGTGCTCAATCCAGTGTCCAACTTTAGCCATTTAAATAAAGAGAAAACAAGCAACTTTGTGTGGCATTGGTATGAGGCACAGGTATCGTACCTAAAACAATACACAGATACAATGAGTGCCCTCTGGGGCCAATATGAATGGAAAAAACATTACCTATGGCTATCAGATAAATCGAGGCAATATTACAGCATAAGTATCTCAATTCACTTACAACGCCAACTCTACAGTTGTGTTATAGATGGAGAAAGTACGTTAAAAGAATAGACATTCTACATGCCAAGCTAGATTACATTAAACTCCTTAAGTGTGCCTTAGCTCATGGCACCTGGGAGGTACTAAAAAAGCTACTATGGAGAATCCAAATACACACTCACATTCATAAACTGTCTTGCCCAGCTTGGCAAAAACTAACATACATAAAAAGAGCAACTTAAATTTAACATATCTTTACATCCTTGTGAAGAGTAAATAAAAGCACGTTAAGCATTTTCATTTGGAAGAGGGAGGGGACCATGAGTATGCTATACAGGTGGTCAGATACAATGGTTGGGTCTGTGGGTTCTGTTTCACTATTCTTGTCACAAGGAAAAAGTTGGGGAAAAGAGGGGAGATGGAGAGGAAAAGATCTGGAAACAAGTACTATCTGAAAACAAAAAAAGCATCAATACAACTTTGTTTGAAAGTATAAGAGCCTTAAAAGATTTAAAAGCATCAAACAACAAGCTTGGCCATCTTATCTTTCTTAAGAGCTTTGAATATAAGATACTAAAACCAGCATGAAGACAAGAGGGGCAAATAGCATTATCAAATCACATGATCAAAACAACACTTCCATAAAAACGGTAAAATATTAAAAACAGACACAAGGGCACTTTAGAAAGAAATCATAAATATACTTAAATTTTAAAGGAATATCTTTAGAGCTATTTGTCAATGACAACTGGTGATTCTGGCTCTTGCCTTTGGTCGCACAGGCCCAGGTCTACAATAATGTAAACAAAACATCTGGTGGTAACAGGAAGGACAGATTAAGAGAGGAGTTGAGAAGACCTACATGTAATGAGGCCACTCCAATACTGCAAGCAGATGAGGGAAGTAAGAAAAGGAAGCAAAGAGGAAGTGATGCGCTCACATAAAAGCTATTTGGTAACTTGCCTGGATGAGGAGAGGGTCAGAGATAACAAAGATTTCAAAGGGAGTGTTGGTAACAAAAACACTGGTCAGAGAGAGAATCTTGGCTTGTAAAGAACTGGTAGGAATACATGTGGAGTTTAAGGAAGCTATGCAAACTCCAGGCTATGAAACCATATATCTTAACTAAGAAGAACCATTCCTGATGCAGAACTTGAGATTTATAAATCAGCTGCTTGAAACTTAAGTAATGTTAGGAATAGTGGTTAGTTGCAAATAAAAAGCTTGTTCACAAAAGCCTAGAGCTGAGAGGTCCAAGTTGTCTTTAAACAAAAATCTCTTTACAATATAGGGAGCAATAACACAGTGGAAAAAATGATAGATTTACAATGAAGATTAAGAACCCTAGCTTCAAATAACACTTTTGACAATTGTTATTATGACCCCTGGTAAATCATTTAATGTCTCCTTAACTACAATTCTTCTCTCCCCCATCTGTTGATTAAGAACCCACCACTCAAATCTCGGATACGCCACTGTTTTTCAAATAATGTCATAAGCTTCTGGAAGGCTTCCCCAAAGCACAACAGGTTACACAAAGTAGGTTAGGCACTTACTATCTTGCTGTGTACTAGAAGCTAGTTCTATGACTTCGGCAAATTACTTCTATACTGTGAGAGGCTCAGTCATGACATGTAAGATCATATTCAATTCTGAAATTCTCTGTTGTGAATATTTACTAACTTGTGGGTAGACTTGAATCTAGAAGCAAAGAGACTAAAAATCCCCAGAACAATGCCCCTACTCCAGTTTCCAAACTAAAAAACCTAGAATAGACCAATTTTACATCCCACATCCCGTCACACACAACCTTAGAAAGAAAAGACAGCTTTACCTACTACTTAGAATCCTCTTGGCGGTAGGTAGTTTTACCAAAGTCTTTTGAGAAAAATGGTATTTTACAAGAAATAAAACAGTGCAAGTCACAAAAATAAGTATTCCTCTTTACCGAATCACTATTTTTCTCTTGGGCATATATTAGCCCAAAGATAAATGAGAGTGCATGTTTTAACAGAAAAACAAAGACAAAACTAGACATCACCTTAGGAATTTGCTCAAAGACAAAAGAAAGCAGCAAAACAGAATACATGACTATGACCATAAAATAAAACTGGCTAATGGAGAATGGAAGGGAATGTGTATGTGTGTGCACATGCACGAGAGTGCATGTGTGTATAAAACCATCATAGCTATTTTGTACTTACATAGAAATTGTGAGGCTAGAAGAAAAATGTGGTACTCCCAAGAAATGATTCAGTTAAACCAGGCTTGTCTATTTAAATACCCTACTACTCCTAATGTTTGTATTACCTCTCTCTCATCATTAGTCCTGAGAGGACAAATTGTCTCTGCTACTCCACCAGCTCAGTTCCCTAAAAAGCACTAGGGTATAAAGACAATTTTCAAAAGTTCTAATTGTAGCTTCTGTATTTCATAAAATGTCAGTATCTACACAAGGAGTTTTGCTGTTCAAGGACCACTGTTTTTATTTAGAATGTAAGCTTTTTTGAGAGTTTTGTTTCTTTTCTGTCCTTATATTCCTAGGACCAACAACATAAAAATCAACCAATCAGCACTTAAAGCTTATGTACCAGGCAAGTTGCTTATACTGTAATGGGAGAGAGCACACATAAGAAATACATTGAGAATAAAGACACAGTAGTTAGGAAGAGAGCAAGGTATGTATGGAAGGCTGTAGGAAAGACTTTTAGAATAGCTTGTGGGGATTAAGCCAGGTAAACAATTAGGGAGGACTTAAAGGATTTTATTGCTGCAGCAAGGGCCCAGCTTGTATAACACGAATTTATGCTGTACCAGTCACAACTGTTAACTTCAGCTACCTTCATTCAGGAGCATGAAGGAGCAGAGGAAATGAATAGCAGGAATAATACCAGCTGGGGTTTGCTAAGGGATAAGTGGCAACAAGACAAGAGGATTTCTGAGTTGATAACTCTGTGTGGTTGAAATCTCTTAAGAGTTGAGACTAGGAAATGACACAGCAGGCCTAAGAAAAGTAGAGTGAAAGGGACCAGAGATCACTAGATTTAGAATGGTTGAGACCCAGCGAATGCAAGGAAGTTAAGGTCAAATAGAGGAATG